GTGAAGCACTGACCAAGCATGGGTCATGATACAGGTAAAATAAATAACATTCCTTGGCTTTAGTCAGAAATGGTGGCACACGTCTGCAATCTTACCACTCAAGAGATTAAGGCAAAGGGACTGCTAGTTTGAGTTTGAGATCCACCAAAGTTGCATAACGAAACTAGAGGCACATGGCAAGATCCTCTCTGGGACCCTCCCTAAAAAGTGAATATCAGTAGGGATAATTACAAACAGAGGAAAGTATGTTAATTCCATTGTCTATCAAGTTTAGCTGCTGAACTAAAAGGAACTCATAATGCAGGACCTTCCAAACAAAGAGGGGTAATGTCTGCCAAATGTATGGGATAAGAAGCTATGGCTGGTATACAAAATTAATGAAATTCTTCTTTCTTTGTGCTTGGCTAACTATGATGACGGCCACTCTGCCTGCACAGATGCCATTTCATCTTCAAGAATACCCCCAAGCCATCAAAGCTAGGCATGCACGTAACTGAGGAATGTAGCTGTTGGGATGTGATCTAAGATAAGAAAAAGAGTGCTGTCTGACTATAAGCCTTTTCTCATTAGCATTCTGGCTTTTGTAGGTTTCACAGTATCTGTGACTTGCCCTATCAAGTTTAGTGACTTTGTGATATACAAAGGAACTGGCTGGATTCCCAAATCATGGTGTTACATGCAACCCAGCAAATGAACTTCTGTCCTTACCATGAGAGCTTCAATTATCTTAGCATCTCACATGCAAAATTATGTGAGCTTGGCAAGCATAGCCATGGACTAACAGCTCTGAAGGCATTGCCTTTGTGAGCAGAGGTTTTCTTTTCAAAACTCTTAACCAACAAGAACATTAACCATTTCTTTAAGATAAAGCACCAATTTACACTGTAGTCAAGGGATAAGCTATTTTAATAATCAGTTTTAATTAGGCAAGAGATTAATCAAGGTTCATTTCTGAGGAATTCTCAAAAGACATGTGGAGATTACTTTTGGTTATTACTCTACTGAAGTGAGTGCTACGTTACATGCTAAATGAGAGCAAATAGGAGTACAAGCATCTCCTGTTCTCTCCAGATTTTGACTTGAAACTGCGCGCACGTACGTACAAACACACACACACACACACACACACACACACACACACACACACACACGGGGCGGGGGGGACTAATATATTGAAGAGATGGCAGAATAGCTCAAAATTTCAACCTAATCTTGGCTCCCTTGTATCCCTGCCAGGTATTACAGGGGAGTAAAAGAAGGGCCGAGTGAAATCCCAGCAGATGTTCTTGTGTTTCAGGCTATCTTATCATTCCTGGCCGGGACAGTGCTATTAAAGAATAATCCTGCCTTTCTTCTCTTTTTTAATGAGACTGACTTTGGCCAGCAACTCCATCATACCTTATTAACATTGCCATCTATCCTTGACTCCCTTATCTCAGTAAAATGGACAACTATTCCTACTTAAAGGATTAAACCATAGTGGCCTTCTTCCTTGTGTTTTCTCTGACTTAAATACACAATGAATCTTTAAATCTTACGGATTGGGCCTGATTGTCAAGGTTTGGGGTACCGGGGATGCCGGGATAACATCTTAGGACTTCCTGGATGCTATGCACTGAGCTCATCCGCTTGCTTCCCCATTACTATGAACATCCTCTCCTCAGACATTCCCTCCAGGAATCAGAGCCACCAACACAGCTAACTCCTATTTCCTGTGAGTCAATATAACTCTCAATCTTGTCTTGAAGTCTCTAGTAGTTTTTGTCGTTTTTGTCTTGTTGTCCTTTGTCTTTTTATTAATGTGTCATTCCCTGATTCATTCTAATATCAACTTTTTTCCCCCATCACTGCCATCAGAAAAATGCCAAATTCCTTGCAATATAATATCATGCTTTTTCTGATCAGATCCTAGCTCATTTCTCTCTAGATAATTTCTAGAATGGTGTTGGAAACTAGCATTTGCACTGGATGTTCCAACTACACTCAACTTAAATCCTTGTGTTTATAGTAGTGTCTTCCTTTATCTCTGTGCTGAGCTAACTGTGAATTGGGGGAGGACAGTGGTGGAAGACATGGGAGAAGTTAGGGGAGGAGTAGAGGGGGTGAATGTTATCCAAGTATATTATCTGAAATTACCAAGGAACTGATGAAAATATTGTAAAACCTGTCAGCCTACCTCTATCCTCTATGGAATATTTAGATATTTGGATTTTGGCTGGGATTGACTTAAAGCTTTCCCCTGACTGTGAAAACTCTTCAGAGAACTGGGATTAAGTCTCAGTCTCTCTCTCTCTCTCTCTCTCTCTCTCTCTCTCTCTCTCTCTCTCTGTCATTTTCTTATTATGCAGTGAATTTCTGGTTTCTGTGAATCCAAACATTCATTAGCTCCTAACTTCTATTATCTCTAAAAAGTTAAATTCTAGGATAAACATGTCAAAATGCACACTTGAAAAGGATGAAAAGGACTTTGTTCTCTTGCCATGACTGGGTTTGTTGGGTCTTTACTTATTTTTTGATTATTTATAGAATAAAACTTAGGATAGTTTTAAGGCAAGATGTTTACTTTTGAGCCACAGGTGGATCACATTAATACTGGCCTTCACTATTTAAACTGTGTTCTGAGCACTAACTACATGTTTACAGCGTCCTCATCTCACAAGGCCATTTCTTTTCCTCTGAGAAACACAAATGGGTAATGAAAGAACTTGAATTCCCTGACATTTTCTTGTTTGAATTCTGCTGTGTCTTTTCAACTTAAAGACTTCAAGACAATATGATTCTCTTACTTCCATTACATTTTTAATACCAATCTAAGCATTCTAGATGTGTGCCCTCTCTTCACTACAGGGAAGGATTATGCTCCTGTAGTGTTTACTTATTCCTCATTACTCTTTCTGTGGGAAACAATCTCAAATGACCTTCAGTCTCGCTGTCTCGCTGAAAAACTACTTTCACAGGACAGCAACTTTGTAAACGTATCACAGATTTTTATGGTTCTTTCAGTTCCTTTGCATCACATAGCCTTTACCCTCCATTTGTGAGCTCCCAGACAACCAAGAACTTCCACTTTCATCTCTGTTTAAAATAAAATCCAGTATAATTACGTCTTTTTTTTTTTACTATTATAGAAATATGTGATTTAAAAACCACCACTACCTTGCATTATGACATATATGTGGCAGGATTTAAAAGCTAGTGATATAGAAGAGTGTTATGCGATCAAAAAAAATACAAATTGGAATCTATCTAAATACAAATTGGAATCTATCTAAATATCAATAACTTCTAAGAGTTAGGAAAAAATCCTACATTCTGAATTTTCATCAGAAGACAAAATTGCAAACAACAGTGTGTGTATGTGTGTGTACGTATTGTTTTAAACATTTCTAAGTTTTAATAATATAAATTAAACACCATTTCTGGATTTCTCCTTCATGTATTCTATAAATTCCCATGAATACTGCTTCACTGGAGTAACTTAAAAGATATTTATTTGAGGCATTATTGTACAATACAATTCAAGTCAAAATCACCTCGAAATTTCTATGACCACTGAAACATATTGTGAGAATATATGAAAATGTGCCTTCTTTGGAGCATGTCATATCTGAAAGAGGCACAGCAAAACAGGAAAAAATGGGTACTCTACACTGCCCTTGAATCTTTGCAACACACTAGAGACACATCTATATGTCTCTTGCTGTGGACACCACTGTCACCATAGCCCCCATTCATACTCATCAAAGAAGAAATGATCATTTGAATGGACAGACTGACGAGCATTGATGGAACAGGATGACTGAGGCCACAAGGCCACGGCGAGCAACATGTTCCCTATACCCTTCCTTCTTCTCATGTGCTCAATAGGACTGAAGAACTGACTTTAAGTCTCCTGAGTCTCTTAAACCTGAAATGGATTCATGATGCACCTCTTTCAACCCTAGTATTGAAATAAAGCCTTCTACTTTATTTTGCCACAATGGGGCTTAGACAATAAGCACAAACCAATACAGTGATGTTCGCCTCCCCCTTGCATTTCTTACATTTTACCCCTCCAAAAAATTATAGAGTAGGCAGGGTAACTTGAAATTCATGGTTTCCAGCCAAATATTTCCCATGTTGAACCATACGAAGTTGTGAATGTTATGTTCCCCCAGGGAAATTACAGGGATAAGACCACCCTATGGAGTTTTGTGAGGAAAGAAAAAGAAAATTGATAGTATACAGTATTGGGGAAATAGTATTGAATTTTGTGGAAATATTCTATAGTGTTCTTCAGTGGCGTTTCAATAGCTGGACTCAATAGAGTTGCACATTAGTGTTACTGGGAAGCAACATCACACGTACATTCCAACATTTTCATGAGATTCCTAGCTTTTCATGAGGTTTTATGCTTTAAATGACTATGCATAACTCCTTACCAAGATGCTTTAATCATAATCTTTTCAAAACCTTGTTAGTTTCTATTGATGAAACTTCTTTCCCAAACCAGATGGTCAGAAATGTTTAAGCTTATCCTTCATAGTATTAGGAATTTAACAGTTAGTTAAATGCTTTACTAAAAATGTCATTTCAAGTGTCCTTCAATAATGCAAAATGGTATTTCTAACTCAATCTTATTATTTTTTCTTTGTTTTGGTTTTCTTTCTTTCTTTCTTTCTTTTTTTTTTTTTTTTTTTTTTTTTAGATAGGGTCTTAGATAGTCCAGTTTGGTCTGAAAATTTACTACATAGCTTAGTCTTGTCTTGGACACTGATCCTTCCATTTCCACCTTCAAAGTGTTGGAATGACAAGTGTTTGTCACAATCCCTGGTTTCCATCACAACCATAAATTCTAAATAAAATATTTCAAAATCAGGATGTGACTAGGCATGCTCTGCTAATGCAGAAACACAGGCCACCAGCAAATGTGGAATGCAACATGAGGAGAGCTGCTTGGGACTGAGTCTCCCATCAGCCCCTGCCCTGCCACCCCAGCCCCATTCCCCCGCCGGCCGCACCTTGGGCTGCAATCTGTGCTCCTGGGGCACCGGGTCCACGAACTCCTCTGGCAGCTCCACGTGACCCTTGTCCTCGATGAGCAGTGGCGCGCTCTGCCGCTGGCTGCTGAAGAAGATGTCTGGGAGGTAGAGCGCCTCCTGGGCTGCGCTCAGCATGTCGCAGTGGAGCAGCAAGGGCTGGATGTCTCTCATTGTGCTTGCCACCTGCGGGGACCGCAGGGCGCACCATCAGATAGACCCCCTGCTTACTCAGGCCTCAGAGGAGCCCAGTAGAGGCTATCCCCAAGGCAGCCCTCTATTGCAGACATATTGTTATTCTATATGGCTTAGGACCAGCCACCCCAAGTCCCACTCAGACAATCCTGGGACTGAGCAAAGAATTTTTCTAGCCCTTAGATTATAAACACTATCCTTATTAGGAAAAGCTTCTTATCCCCATTCCTAATATGATCAGAAAATTAGACATAATTACAGAAACTGAATAAGCTAGTTACCTACAAAATGTAATAGTTCTCTATAGTTAATAGTCTCATAGTTTTAGGAAACAAACTACAGGCACTATGTATTTAATAATCTCATAGCTTTAGGATACCAAGTATTGTCACTAATTTACCCAGAATGAAGTATTGGCTACCAAATTCAGTTTTTACATAAAAAAGCTTGACGATATAAAGGGATCTTGTTATTTATTTATTTATTTGTTTCTTTTGTTTTGTTCTGGTGCAGAGTTAAATGATTGTTTTGTATTTATTTATATGTTTTCTGGTCATTTTGCTAACATTTTTGTAAGATACTGTATTAAGAGCTATGATGGACATTATTGTGAAAAGATATACATATATTTTTGCCACTTATATACACAGTGATTTTTACTGACAAATGTTGCATATTACATAAATGAATAAATATGGAAGACCAAGACAATAATGATAAAATAAAATTATACACATATGATAATTTAAAAAAATTGACACAACAATCATATATTATATGCTATGAAAAAACAGAGCTACCTTAGTACATGATTTCTTTATGGTGTGATAAGCGAGATACACAATTCTCTACTCTAACTGTAGTTTACTCAATAAGAGTTTATTCAACAAGAAAGATAATGAAATCTACTTCTAAACAGAAAGCAAAGAATTTACAAAGGAAAACACCATTCTCGATACATACATCATTCTTGATACATACATTTTTAACTATTACAGCTGAATGTTTAAAGACATATTGTTATTCTATATGGCTGACATTAAGCAGTGAAGAAAAAATTAATCAATGAAGAAAAAGCACTTTGTGGTAATCATTGTGTTATTTGTAAATTAAAACTAAAATTATATCACTCCATCACATGAAATAAAACCTTTACAGAAAAAAAAGTAATAATTAAAAAATCAGAAATTCCACCTGATATAAAACTCTAAATTTAATGCCTATAACACTGATATGAAATAATGATTTACAATTAAACAACATAATATAGCACTGTATATATACATATACATATAAATATAATGTACATGTATATATATATATATATATAAATACTGTTCAAACACCATTCTGATCAGCTACATAAATGGAATGTGTCAAAAAGCATGTTTCAAATTTCTCAAGTCCCTCTCCTCTATACTCCTAGTGATAATGAAACTGTGTATATTTTATGGAATTATTTGCAAATACATGTCTCTGACCATCTTCAGAGCCATTCTGTGTCAAGACACTTGTGAAAGTGTGTTATATAATATGCTATACGAAAAGCTTCTGTTACAGTGATGGTGAAAGATTTTATTCCTTGCCAAGTTAACATCCCGGCTCATTTGGAATGATGGGATGTGAGCTTGTTTGATTTCATTCATTCGACATGTAAGTATGGAGTTCTCACCAAGTGTCAGCTTCTCCTTGAGGTACAGAAGAGTGTCTTAGACAAAGCAGGTTACAAGGGAGTGTAAATGAACCACTCACCTTGCTGGGGCCATTGAGACATAACACATGAAGAAGAAAGGAATGTGATATAGACGTATGGCCAGTCCTCAGAAAATATATATGCGGTGAGCTATAAAGGGTGTATTTGAATCCTTAATGAAGACACTTACGGGGGTAATACTCAAACTAAGATTTTTTTTTTTTTTTTTAAGATCTGAACTTTAAAAAAAAAAAAAAAGGAATCACACCAAACTATGACAAAAGTCATACAAATCGGAAGCAAAAATAACTTGGGGCTATGGCAGAGGTCTCCTGTGTGGAAAAGCTTTGAACTATTCAGGAGTTAGCACAGCCAGCTCAATAGTTTAGAATACCAGAGAGTAAGCAACAGTAATTTTTAAGTTTCTATCTAGGACAAATTAATGAGAGGAAAGAGAATGACGTGACTGGGAAAGATACAAACAAAAACAACAACAACAAAAAAAAAAACGGATTTTCTCTGAAGTAGAGATCAAATATTTGAAAAAAAAAAAAGCCAATTCTACAGCAAGCAGAAAATGACAACTGATCAAAATGCATATGCAATAGACATGAGGTGACAAACACCACTGTGTCTGGATCTACCTGAACGTTCTCTCCACATGAACTAAAAAAGAACATGTCCCAGAGCTAAGCAGGAAACAATCAGGGATCTCACAAAAGCTCATTTGCAGGAGGAAAGAACCTGATTTTATGGAGAAAGTCAAACGAATAAAAAAAAAAAAAAAAAAAAACAGGAAGTTAAATGTATATGCCTTTTAAGTTGGAGGAAATGAAACCTGGGTTGCGTCATGCAATAGAGTTCACACTCACTTGGCATCAAAGTCCCAAATCTTAACTTTTATCTTAAAAAATACTGCACATACTAGGATTAAGGCATTGCAGAACTTCCAAGGATGTATAACCATACTTCCAATTTGTGATCCTCAGACCTATCGTAATATTTAATCATCAAAATAACAACCACAGTTAAAAGTCTAGTAAACCCCTAAAATCTTACATATAAAAAGATTCCTTAACTCACATGCTAGTAATAACCCTTGCAAAAACTCCACCAGAATTCATGGGAAGAAGCTGTAATTAGAAGCTTCTGATGTCCTTGGGGGCCCAACTGTATTCGAAGAAGAGAGATTCTTCCTGTGAAGTAAGGTGATATCTATACTTGCACTCTCCACCCACTTGTATAAATTCTATACATGGCTGAAAAAAACACTCAGTCCTCCTTAGAAACTAGGTGTCTTTGGATACTTCAAGACATGCTTCACATTCTTGGTGTCCTTCGTCTTGTCTAGATTCTTAAAAGAACAGGTACTTTTTCAAAGTCCTGATGAAAAACACTGCACCATGTGACATTAACAGGTTTGGTCCTCAACATGCTTCTCTTTTAGAGTTCCCCCTCCTACATGAATTTGAGACTATAGTTTCTGACATTCTTATAAAGTAAGTGCACCAAGCTTTCTTTGTAACCTTCACAGAAACAGGAATTTCATTTTAATTGTTAAAACATCAGATATCTCTGATAAAGGAGTCACTGGTACAAAATGGTGCATATGCTGCTTTCGAATGTGAATTGCAGCAGTCATGAATGATATTTAATATTCATGATAAGCACATTTTTCTTGCTGTATCTGTGTCAATCAGTACTTCTTAGGCAGAGGCTTTCATCATTTAAGGACTTTGATTCTGCTTTCCTAGTAAATAACTGCCAGATAGTGGATAGTGGAAATATTAAAATTATTAGTGTGTACTACACTGGATTTATTAAATTATTTATGCTACATCTATGCTTACTCTCTCAATCAAAGTACATTGCCATATGAAAATTTCATGGTGCTGTTTGTATGTAGACAAGAAACCAGAAGAAAGGAAAGGAAATAAAGAAAGCATTAAAGAAATAAAATGTTTTTGAGAGTAGTGCTATCATGTTTATATTATATGTAGAATATACAGTTGAAATAATCACAAGAGTTGACGTGGTGTATAATTCTGTAATATCAGCAATTGAGAGGAGGAATCAGGAAGATTGTGAGTTCATGGAAGGAGCAGACTACATGACAAGAATCTTTTCCAAAATAATAAGAAAGCAAAAAAAGGAGGGAGACAGGATGGACAAAGGGAGTTGGAAACAGAAAAGACGAGTACTCATTTAAATATAATTTCAAAAATCAACATTGACTTGCAAAATACATACAAGTAACATTATAAAGACTGAGCAGTTTGGGTTTACTTATGTAGGACTAAATATGTATACACATACGCATATATGCATGAAACAACAATTAATAAAAAGAAGGCTGCCATGAGTTTCAGAGAGAGCAAGGAGGGATATCTGGGAGGGTGTGTTGGATAGAAAGGAGAGGGAGAAATAATATAATTATATTATGATTTCAAAAAACAAAAGAATCAATAAAAATTGTAAACATATATCCATTGTTTCCAAAGAAGTTTGGCTACTTGTGCTTTTTTTTTCTCCTCAGTTTAGTGGCCTACAGTAAAGAAATATCGATTATAAAAATGAGATTGGAACCTGAATAAAACAATGTAAAGCAATGGATATACTTCTATAAGAGTTTGATGGCACTAACACTTGAGAGACTACCAGGGTTCAAAGTGAGTTAGATTTCTCAAACTAAGGATACTTTATGTAAATCATTTGTTTCTGGGTTTTGGGTTATAGTTTATGAGTCATTTAATAGTTAATTAAGTATGATTCATACAGAATTTAAAATGGATGCTAATAAAGCTATTATGGCAATCTGTACACTCTTTGGCTCTCCTTACTATCTCTTGGAAGTATCATGTGTGAGCTCTTTTTCATACCTGTCTAACCCTTCCCTTCCCTATCTGCTTATAGGAACTCTCCCCTACTCTTCAAGCTTCCTTGAATTCACACTGGACTCAGATTTCGGTCTTCCCACAAATCCTCCAGATTATTCACTACATATCTGAAAGCAACATTGGAAGTCATCATATTTTTCTTCTGTTTTCTTCTAAAATTTTATTCAAAGCCTGTTTTAAAATTTGGTCTTCAAGATTCAACCCCCTTCTCCTCCACACACTAAATGAAAAGATCTCTGATTATAATTTCTACTGTTGACATCATATGCTATCACATTCTCAGCACTCTGTTTTCATCGCTTTGATTGTAGTTTAACTCTACCAAATGAAGTATCAACATGCTATAAAAGTACCCATCAAGGAAGCCTGTAAGAAAGCATTTGTGAGGTCCTGACTCAAAT